GACGCGGGGCTCGAACTCACGGACCGCGAGATCGTGACCTGGCTGAAGCCGGACGCCTAACCGACTGCGCCACCCAGGCGCCCCTGACTCTCAGACCTCTTGAAACTCATTCCTCTTGCCAGGTCTCTGATGCCAACCCTTCACCCTAGCCCCTACTCTGCTTTCTCCCTGCCCCTTGGATCTGACGTCTCGGAATCTCTCTCCTCTTGCACACCGGCCCGCCTTTGCCCGGTGCTGTGGCTAGGACCAGCCCTTCGCACTCCCGTCCCCAGGTCTCGGTACCCAAGGCCCCTCCCCTGCCTCCTTCCTTCGAGGAGAAATCAGGTCCTTACCAACCGTGGAACTGGATGCTTCTGAGGGTAATACGTTCCTTGTTTCCAGAGTTAGGGAAGCAAAAATGGACCATTCCCTGTTGCTAATATTATCAAAAGGAGGTATATTCGTTGGAATTCTTTGCTTATAAGTGCCAAAATCCGGCCTTGGCCACTGTGAGCAAAGACTAGAAGAACATCGAGTAGCTAGAAAGTCTGAAGTGAGTCCAGGGACCGGGAGAAGAATCATGGCCCTTCCAACCCTTGAACCATCTCTTCAAGGTAACATGTCTGGAATGGGTGAGCCCCCATGTGTTTCCAGTCTACAGTTTACCCCGGTCAAGACTCAAAATCCCAGAAGCAGGAATTTTGACTGACCAAGCTTATTGCACGTGCCCTGGTTCTAGCTGGGTGGGTGAGAGGCAGGCTCTGGAAGAAACTGTGAAACCTCTGAAGACCCCCCCTGATGGCCCTGCTAGTGGCCTTCACAGGGGAGCAAGAATTTTTTAAAATAATTTTTGAAAACAATTTTTTTTTTAAATTTTTTTCAATGTTTATTTTATTTTTGGGACAGAGAGAGACAGAGCATGAATGGGGGAGGGGCAGAGAGAGAGGGAGACACAGAATCGGAAACAGGCTCCAGGCTCTGAGCCATCAGCCCAGAGCCCGATGCGGGGCTCGAACTCACAGACCGCGAGATCGTGACCTGGCTGAAGTCGGACGCTCAACCGACTGCGCCACCCAGGCGCCCCTGAAAACAATTTTTTAATGTTTATTTATTGTTTATTTATTTTTGAGAGACAGAGAGAGAGAGAGAGAGCAAGCAGGGGAGGGGCAGAGAGAAAGGGAGACACAGAATTTGAAGCAGGCTCCAGGCTCTGCATTGTCAGCACAGAGCCCAAAATGGGGCTCGAACTCATGCACTGAGCGATCATGACCTGAGCCGGTCAGATGCTTCACCCAGTGAGCCACCCAGGCGCCCTGGGGGAGCAAGACTTTTGGCTTAAAGTCCCCACAAGCCTGAAGGCAGTGGAGGGCAGGTGAACTCCCTCCAGTGCAAGAATCGGGGGCTGTCAGGAAAGGAGGGTGGATTCTGGGCAGACAAAAGAACAAGTTTAGGATAAATGGGGAACGAGATTAGTGGACCCTGGGTCCACTTTGGAATCTTCTAGACTGTGGGAAACAATTTGTTTTTCACCAAATAAGTTCACTAAAGCAAAATGACCGCTTATCTGCCATCACCATCATTTCATAGAAGGAAGGTTATTAATACAAAAAAGCGGAAAAGGGAATCTCAGAGTAAAAGAACGTCCTTAAAGTGACTCACACTCACTTTAAGTCAGATTTACGGCAATATTTTTTTTTTCCTTCTTGCCCTCATTTCACTGGAGACCAGTGAACACAGACTTGCCCCCTCGTAGGCCGTAGGGTTTAGGAGTCCTGGGCTAAGTGATGTGCAGCTTCCTTACTAGCCCCAAGTTTCTGTGATCCCAGTGGGATCTTGCTGTTGAACAGTGATTCTCCATAGGGGCTGGGGAGGGGCAGGTTTGCCCCCTGGGAGACTTGGCCCCTGCCTGGAGACATTTCCAGTTGTCACAGCTGGGAGTAAAGGAGGAGATGGCATCCTACTGGCATCTAGAAACCAGGGATGCCGCCCAGCTTCCTACTATGCACGGGACAGCTCCCACCACCATCAGTTTTCTGTCCCAAGATGTCGAATGACGAGGTTCAGAGACTGTTATAGACAGAAGAAACATCCCAGGAAGCAATTCAGATCCAAAAAGGCTTAGAGAAGAGTGCACTCAGGCGTCGTCATAGCCCTTATGCAGGAGGCAGAGTTTTTTAGTTAAATTATAACTCCTTCTTTAAATAAAATGTATTGCTTCTTTAACCCAACACCCCCCAACCACTGCAGAGACCTCTTAACCACTCCTCACATCCCCTCTCACCCACTGCAGGAGTTTCTCTACATTGCACTCCTAGGGATCTGCAGAGAAATTAGTCCGATTACGTTGAGCCCCAGCTCAAACCTTCTGGTGGCTTCTATCACACTTACAAAAAGATTGTGGTTCCTTACCTTTTCACAGCACCCCCCCCCCCC